TGAGGCCAATTAGGAACAAGCATGCCCCATATGGGAAATGAGATATGATTTTTTTTCTAATATTCTATTGATAATAATGATGATTGTAATCAGCATTGTAAATTTTATGACCTACCTTTCCAATGAAATTTTTTCAGTATTTCAAAACAAATTGATTTTGCCATATCTTACGCTCCAGACTCATGGTAAGATAAATGTTATTAGTTAGTTATAATCACAGATGTTTATCATTATACTTGTTTCTCTTCTAAAATACTTCATTTTTTAAGCATTTTCCATTTTTTTGATGCTGGAGGATCATTTTTCACACTTTTGCAGACCATGGCAAGAAAACTTACTAAATATGCAATTGATTTTTCCATTAAGATAGCATGCCAATAAGTACACCCAAGGCTGCAAGGACCATTTAAATCATCAGACACTTTGATGAGGTATTCTAGTCTTCAGAATTTTAAAGATCTTTATTTTTAGGTCAGGAAACTACAGCAAGTGGGCCAAATTGGACCCACTTCCGGGCTTTGTAAATAAAGTTTTATTGAAACAGCCACACCCATTTTTTTATGCATTTGTCTGTGGCTGCTTTTGAGCTACAACCGCAGAGGTGAGCAGTTAGGACAGAAACTATATAGCCTACAAAGTCTAAAGTATTTACTACCTTGTTCTTTACAAAAAACATGCTGACCCCCGATCTCCAAACTAATTCCTAACTGGGTCTCGGGATTCTGTGAAGTTTTTCTCCTAAATTTTCTTTTGTAGATGTTTCATCTCACTGGTGAAATGACACATGTTCAATTGTGTAGAAAGACATGGACTTCATTTTTAATCCTTGTGTATGTATTTTAACATTTACTCTATTTTCTTCATCTGTATATATTACCTTTGCAAAATAAGTTTTATTTCTAAAACCCTTTCCACAAAACAGGTAAGTTAGAGATGTGACAAGATTTATGCTTTAATCTCATGATTGGATAGACGCTGCGAGCTAGGAGAATTCTTTTCTAGGCTGCCTTATTAAATGGGGTTCACTTAATATGGCTCCTGAGGGCTTTGAAATCAACATCCCATTGAAACTGAGTGGAAAATAATACAATTAACTGGAAGTAGAGCTCTCTAATGATTCATTTTGGAATTAGGTAATAGTGAGAAGAAGGGAATAACTTGAAAATAAAAACATTGGAAATCTATTGTAGTTAGGAGCTCAGACTGTCAAAATCAATTCTTAAGGAATATTTACAAAACCACATAACCTCTATCTATAAATATTGAATAAAGATGTGCTCCATATTTGAAAGCAACTTAGATTTTCACTCACAAGATTCTGTAATACTAATTCCCAAATATGATGATAAGGGACTTTAAGTGTAAAACACATTTCACATTAACATGGGACACAGCATTAATTCCTAAACATTTTCTATATCCTATCTATACAGTTGAAGTCCTACTTACTCATTTTCAACAGTTGTCAACCTTGCTACATACATGCTACAAAGACATTCCTGAGGTATTAAAAACAGCTGATATTTACTAAATGTTGACTATACAACAGTCTACTTTTAATCCTTACCTAACCTCCCTTACCTCATTTTATAGATGAGGAAACCAGCTTAGATAGGAAAAATAACTTGCCTAAGATCGCATACGTATTTGGTGCCCAAGCCAAAATTGTAACTCAAGCACAGTTTCAACCCAGAATCTTCATTTGAACCATGTTCCCTCCAAAGTCTTGTGAGTACAAGAAGCTTGAAAGCAACCAAGTAATAATAAACACCAGCACTTGGTATTGAGAGGCATTGAAAAAGGTGTGCTAACTCTTCTGGGTGAGAGGAAAAGGAAATGCTGCTGGGAGGAGGTAAGTCTTGAGTTGAATTGGGTTTACTAATTGGAGACAAGGAAGGTATTCCAGACATATGTAATAGCGTGTTCAAAGGCAGAGACTGGAAGAGTACACTTTCAGGGAGGTGTAATAAATAAGGCGCAGGAGATGGGCTGGCGTAGTGTGAAGGGGCCTGCAGTATTGCCATAGCTTACAGGAAGTCAGTGGTTTTCCCATTTCAGTGTGGTGAGGATCACCTGGGGCACCTGTTTACAGTGAAAATTACTGGGCCCAAGTTGTGGGAGAATCTTATCCAGTTAGATCCAGGAATTTGCATTTCAGCAGGAACACCAGGTGATTCCAGGTCAGGAGAGCCTCTCTGAGAACACTGGAAATCAACATTCTGGAGTATGACATGGTTAATGTCGTGATGTTATAGAAAAACGGCACAGCAGCTCAGTGGAGAGAGGAAGGTGTTCTCAAAAGCGATTTTTTTATTTATTTAGAATTCAGAAATAATAGAAAGGTAGCTTTTCTTAATGATTTATACAACACACGCACACACACACTTTCATTTATAATAGGTTTTCGATGTTATTTAAACTACTGGGTTATAAAATAAAATGCTGAAAAGTCAGGGTTCTGTTGTGTTAACTTTTTAAGGCGCCGTAAGGTACAAAAATATATGAATTTTTCAAACCAAACCTTATTTGTGTTTTGCCATTCTCAATCCTTCCCACCCTAACAGTTAGTAAGCTGCAGTGTGAATAAATAAATGAATGGATTAGTTAATTGAATTACATATTTTCAGTAGAACCTAATTTCACACACTATAATTGAGAGATTATTTAATAACTCAAGCAAACTGCAGTGTTTCTGTACTTTTCTCTGGGATTAATGTAATAATTTAAGGGACTAATTACTTAAGATAAAATTGACTCATAAATTTAAGATTTGGTACTGTCTTGTTATAAGCTAAAAGTTGCTATTTCCCACTGGCTTTGAATACATCTAGAATGGAGTAAGTAAAGACAAACTGCATTTTAAAAATTATCTGTTGCATTTAATAACTTGTCAGATGGCTCCCAAAATATATTCTTTGTAGAAAATCGATATATTCCCATCTTGCAGAAGAGAATGTCAGTATACTTTTCAATATTTAAGTAAACTTGAAGGGAAGAAAAAGAAAAAAGAGGCAACAGCCGTCTAATTCATCTGGAATTGGACTCTAAACGGCAGAATCTCTTTGGGTAACCAGAGATAGCCTTGACCAACTGGGGACTCTCAAACTCGGGGATGCCAGATCACACACTGATGTTTATTCCACACTTAAGCTTGTTCAACACAGATGGTAGGTATAAAATAGCTGAGCTCTAACAGATCATGTCCGGGCAGAATGATAAATATGGTCTTTTTTGTTGACAGTCGAGCTGTTTTCACATTCCACTTGAATTAAATTGTGCTCATTCATGCCATGGTACCTGATCTCTGGCAGGGATTCTTATAAAAAATCATCGTGTAGATTCATTGCAAAACAAGTGAAAAAAAAGTTGTAAAGTAGCACTCTAAGAAAAATAAGACTAAAGTTGAACAGCCTATAAGAAACTATGACCAAAAGCCTCCGTTTATTTTGAAAAAAAGATAAATATCTATTTAGATTGATATTTATTCATACGGATTCATATATATTATATATAAGTATATATATATATTAAAATTCAGGGGCAGTGCAAATCCTTAATTTTCATAAACTGGTAAAAATATTTAAAGTTTCTAATGAAAAAGAAATCATATGTCAGATATACTAGGTATGATCAAATATAACACTGGCCCTAACTTTAAAATGTTCACAACCAAGTTTGGTAAATAAGACATAAAGCCATGAAATTTTATGTAAACGAGAAAAGTTAAATAGTAAAGTGAGAGATGATCACAGCTATGATGAAGCTTTATCCGAATGGGCTCTGGGTAGTAATTTCTGGGTCTTGAAAAGTGAATGAACTGTAGCTGGATAGGTGGGGGGGGCAGAAAATGATTTGAGTCAAGAAAGAGTGGGAGTGAGCAAAATCTCATCAACCCAGTGCTTGCTGAATTTGACCTTTTAGACATGACCTAATCGTAGCGCTGGTAGCGATCCACAGGAACACACTCAACTTCACTGATTCACTACAAGGACTCACAGAACTCAGCAAAGCTGTTATGCTCAAGGTTGCCATTTATTACAGCAAAGGGATACAGAATAAAATCAGCAACGGGAAGGAACGTAGGGCAGAGTCCAGCAGTGACCAGGCACGGCTTCCGGTCATCCTCCCACAGTGGAGTTGGCCCATAATTCTCCCAGCAACTGTTTGTGAAGACACACACCAAGTATTGCCACTCAAGGAAGCTTATCCAGGCTCATCACCGTCCAGGATTTTTACTGAGGGCCATCACGTAGGTACGAAATTCTGCATGACTAACTTTATCTCTCATCTCCAGTGCCCCCAGGGGTCAAACTGATGCAACGTGGCCCAGGGCTCCAGGCGAATAAAAACAGACATTCACCATAAATCATATTGTTAGTATGATCTAACATAGCCCAAGACCCAAGATATACAAAGACACTTTTATCAGGCAGGATATTCCAGGGGATTAGAAGTGATCTCCCAGGAGCTGGGCAAGGGCCAGTTCTTTCTTTGGAATGTGTGGGTTTGAACACCCCAAACCCGCTGAGTTGCTAAGCTTTTACTGCACAATAGGGAAAGAGTCTGTGTGACTGCAGGTCTTAAATTTTAAAATTTAACTAAAACAAAGAAAAAGATATGAAAAATACCTGCAAAAGATTTTATCCACACGTTGTGATGATGAAAAATACATATGTATGAGGAAAAGAAAAACCAACTTCATAGAATAGCTACTGTCTCACCTTTGCGTGGGCATCCAGGTGTTCTGCCCGGTGCAGTGAGCCTCAGTGGCCTGATTTGTTGCCACATGCAACCATAACAGTACGATTACCTAAGGAGTAGGCCGTTACGCAGACCTCCGTAAATGCTTCTCCACCGCTCCAGCTAACAGTTCTATAGAAGAAAGGTTATGTTGTGCAGATTTTAGAATTAACTACTTACCGATCTTTTTCTTTTAATTTCTACCCCCACTCTGCACCCCATACTTTCTTTTCTGATCTGCAACGTGGCCTTCTCTGAAGATGTTCCAGTGGATTTGATCGCCATCGGCAGGACTGGGTGGACAGCGGATGCCCTGAAGAGGTACACATGTGCTTTATTATGACAAGATTGTTGGGAACAAGCTGTCATGTATTGTTGCTGCAACTTAATGAAAATGGTATCTAATTTAATAAAAAGGGCCATCAGTTACTGAGCCCTTATATGTACCAGATGTTGAGTTTAACTCGACATGTATTATCTCAATTTATTCTCATACCCATCCTATGAGGTCAGAGCTGTTATTGCCTCCATAGGACCAAGAGGAGAAGAGGGAAGGGTGAGGGGAGATGTTGGGGAAGGGGGTGGAGAGAGAGTGTCTGGAATTAGGTGTGTGACTCAGCAATAGTAGAACCAGGACTTAAGTCTCTGTGAGCAAAGGGCAGTTCTCTTAAACATTTGCTGCTTTTTGAGATCTAGGAAGCCATTGTTCATCTTTTTCGCTCAAATAACAAAATCATTGGAATGGGGGGAAAGATTGATTGCAGCAAATTGGCATGATAGAAGAAGGTAGACATGGTCTAACATAGAAACAGTTAAGTCCCAGGCAGACATGATGGAGACAATGATGCAAAGAAGTGATTCAAGCAAGTAAATAAAATTGTAGAATGGATTTTAACCTATTTACAATTTTTTAGTGAATTGCATTTACATTGTCATTTCAGAGTCACATAAAAATATCCTATAAAATTCAGAAAGAAAAGTATTTGTTTCTTCTCCCTTTGTTAAGTTTTAGGGTTTGAATTTTGAATAAAAACCATTATAACTTTTCTCATTTAGTAAAGCAAACCATGGCAAAGAGCTATTTTCAGAACTCTTAGGCAATCCTAGTTACTAGAGCCTTTATTTTTAATTTAGTTTTTATTTATGATGCCTCATAACTATCTTGAAAAATACATCTTTCAGGATATTCTTGAACATTAAGTACAGTATTGCCAACGCAGCTTTAATCAACTTTTTGACAGTTGTTTGGGGGGAATTACAGTGATAATTTATGTATTTCATGTCACTTATTTAACAACAGTAGTTCAAAAAGAAAATATATTGATAGAGTCATAGCTGTGTTTTCAGGTTGATGTTTCTTTCTTGTAATCACAGTTACCTCAGTTAAAAATGTTGAAATTGAATACCTGTGTAAAGATCAAGAGGGTGATTCAGACATCATCATTTTCTTGCTTTACTGTGGGCCCACCATGAAACATAAGCTATAGAGAAGAATCCGTCGTATTCTAAGACCTCCTAAAGATATTTGTGGGGAAATTAATCGTGTCCTATGGCCTGTGCTAAGCACTAAAATTACAAAGAATTTTTTAAAAAATTACCCTCTCTTCCTAAGGAGCTCAGAATCTAGTACATTCTATAATATTCAATGTTTCCTTTTTATTCTGTAAGTAAATCGTCAACATTACTTGCTTTATGGTGAGCAATTGTATCCTTCTGTTACAGGTAACTAAACATGGTCACCAAGTCCAGTCCATTTTCAGTGCCCAAAACCAGTGTTAAATTTTCCTTCTGATCTTGTGAGATGAATTTATTCAATAAGCGCAAATCCTAATATGAGCGTTTATCGTGTACTGCTCTAAGCACTGCTAATGTAAAAGTGTGAGAAATGTGTATAGCAGGGGAGACAGACACTTAACAAAGGACAGCACTTAGAAAACCACTCAGGCAAAGAACTCTAAGTGCACGGTCTTGTTAAGTAGGACAAGGGAACATTTGCTTGGGGAGATGATATTTAACATGACTTCTGAAGGGTAACTGAAGGTATGAAGAGTGGTGAGAGATGAGACTGGTGAGGTAAACAGGGCCCTAAATGTAACATTGAAGGAGTTTGGGCCTTATCTTAAAGGCAAGAGAAAGCTATCTGGAGGGTTTTAATGAAGGGGGTGACATGATCCAAATGACTTTTTGGAAGAATGGATACATTGTATATTACACTGTCTTAATTACTATAGCTTCATAAGAAATATTGTTTATAGAACAAACCTCTTTACTTTTTCATCTTCACAAGCGTTTTGACAACTTTGGGGCTTTTGTTCTTCATATAAATTTTAGACTCAACTTACAAGATCTGTAATCAATCAATCAATCTTGTCAATATTCTTACTGAATTTACATTGGATTGTGAATTATATCACATTTCTGAATTATGGAAATTTTATTTTTTACTTTATTTTTAAATTTTTATTATTATTTTTTAATAGATCTTTATTGGAGTATAATTGCTTCACAATACTGTGTTAGTTTCTGTTGTACAACAAAGTGAATCAGCCATATGCACACATATATCTCCATATCCCCTCCCTCTTGAGCCTCACCGAGCTGATTTCCCTGGGCTATGCTGCTGCTTCCCACTAGCTATCTATTTTCCATTTGGTAGTGTGTATATGTCCATGCCACTCTCTCACTTCGTCCCAGCTTCCCCCTCCCACCCCATGTCCTCAAGTCTATTCTCTATGTCTACGTCTTTATTCTTGCCCTGCCACTAGGTTCATCAGTACCATTTTTTTTTTTTTAGATTCCATATATATGCGTTAATGGTATTTGTTTTTCTCTTTCTGACTTACTTCAGTCTGTATGAAAGACTCTGGGTCCACCCACCTCACTACAAATAACTCAGTTTCGTTCCTTTTTAAGGCTGAGTAATATTCCATTGTATCTATGTGCCACATCTTCTTTATCCATTCATCTGTCAAAGGACACTTAGGTTGCTTCCATGTCCTAGCTATTGTAAATAGTGCTGCAATGAACATTGTGGTACATGACTCTTTTTGAATTATGGTTTTCTCAGGGTATATGCCCAGTAGTGGGATGGCTGGGTCATATGGTAGTTCTATTTTTAGTTTTTTAAGGAACCTCCATACTGTTCTCCCTAGTGGTTGCATCAATTTACATTCCCACCAACAGTGCAGGAGGGTTCCCTTTTCACCACACCCTTACCAGCATTTATTGTTTCTAGATTTTTTGATAATGGCCATTCTGAGTTTTGATTTGCATTTCTCCAATAATTAGTGATGTTGAGCATCTTTTCATGTGCCTCTTGGCCATCTATATGTCTTCTTTGGTGAAATGTCTATTTAGGTCTTCTGCCCATTTTTTAATTGGATTGTTTGGTTTTTTGGTACTGAGCCCCATGAGTTGTTTGTATATTTTGGAGATTAATCCTTTGTCTGTTGTTTCATTTGCAAATATTTTCTCCCATTCTGAGGGTTGTCTTTTCATCTTGTTTATGGTTTCCTTTGCTGTGCAAAAGCTTTTAAGTTTCATTAGGTTCCATTTGTTTATTTTTGTTTTTATTTTCATTACTCTAGGAGGTGGGTCAAAAAAGATCTTGCTGTGGTTTATGTCAAAGAGTGTTTTTCCTATGTTTTCCTCTAAGAGTTTTATAGTGTCTGGTCTTACATTTAGGTCTTTAATCCATTTGGAGTTTATTTTTGTGTAAGGTGTTAGGGAGTGTTCTAATTTCATTCTTTTACATGTAGCTGTCCAGTTTTCCCAGCACCACTTATTGAAGAGGCTGTCTTTTCTCCATTTTAAATTTCATCTTTTTATTATTGATTTCTTACCTAATTGAATTGTCAGAGGTCACATTCTATATGATACTGATTCTTTAAAATTGGTTGGAACTTTTAATGGAATAGCGAATGAGTAATTTGTACAAGTGATCTTCATGTGCTCAATAAGGATGTGTGTCTTCTTATTGCTTGGGTATGAAGTTTGATAAATGGGTTCTAGGTATTTCCACCATAAGCTTCTTTACCATACACATCTTTGCCACAGGCATTTTTGCTGCATAAGTAATTGGCCATAAGACAATTTTGCCGTAAAAGATAAAACAACAAAAAATAAAAGAGAGACGTTAGAAAGGACATACTGAAACATGAAAAATGAGTAACAAAATTAAAAAGACTTTATTGCAAAATACAAAATATCTGAATACATTCAACGTGCGTGTAGACTCATGACAATACTGTGCAAATAACTGACTTTATTCTGTGGGTTGTACCTAAGCACTTGCCTTCCAAGTCTTTTGTTCATCATATTACATTCTTTTGTTGTTTATTGATTTGTCTCCTTGTTCAGCATCCCAATTTTCACTAAAATGTCTTCCTTCTTTAAGAAAGGTATTAATTTCCAAATACTGGGAAGCATGTTTATAACTGAGCTTTGTACTGTGTTGTGAAAGCCTCTGCACTGTTGTTTGTTCTTAGCATTTTGTCACATGTCCATTGACAGACATTACAAAGTTCTGTGGGAAACATGGTTTCACTTCTGTGCCTTCAGGGCCCTCGGCCTCTTTCTCCTCCCATGTAGTGTGTTTCAAAAAAAGAAATCAACTCTTGGGGCAGATCATCACCATCTGTCATGATTTTTGTATTGTGTATATCAAACCAAACCATCAGCCAAGTATTTTATCTTTTATGGCAAAGTTGCCTTACAGCCAATTAGTTATGTGGCAAAAATATTTTCAGCAAAAATGCATGTGACAAAGATATTTACAGCAAAGAAGATTATGGTGAAAATTCCGGACATGTGATAAATATACTATTCAGTCAGACTGTCTTCATTCTCTTTATTTTTACCTTCTGAGCTCTTTGGAGAATAGGACCTTCTCATCATTTCATTGTATCTTGTAACCTCTCCTTTATATCATCTATTTTCTTATTTCTCTATGCTGTATCCTGGGGGATTCCTTCAGATCTATTTGCCAGTTTATTAATTCTCTCTTCCTTTTGTTTAATCTGCTGTCGAACCTGTCCATTAAGGTAGTAATTCCACAAATATATTTTTCATTTCTAAAATTTAAATCTTTATTAAATCTGTGGGCCTCTCACTGCTGTGGCCCCTCCCGTTGTGGAGCACAGGTTCCGGACGCGCAGGCTCAGTGGCCATGGCTCACGGGCCCAGCCGCTCCGCGGCATGTGGGATCCTCCCGGACCGGGGCACGAACCCGTGTCCCCTGCATCGGCAGGCGGACTCTCAACCACTGTGCCACCAGGGAAGCCCCGCCAAGTCATTTTTATAGTCTGTGATACTAGTTCATTTTTAAATTTTACTTTTCATTTCTTTAAATATTTCATATATAATTTTTATATATTCCATATTTGATGCCCCTACTATGTAAAAGGTTTTGGTAGTCTAATTATGTTGTTCTTTGTTTTTGCTGGCTCTTTGTCAGACTACTCTTTCTCTTTCTGTGTTTCTCGGTCCTTTAATTAGAAGTGCATTTGTTTGATCTTATTCCATGGGAATCCCTAGAATGTAAATAGGTGATGGTTTCACCAAAGAAGTTTTGATGATGGGAACCTGAGGGCTTTTAGGGGACGCCATGTGTTCCTGCCTTAATATGGGGAGGAGAGGTTTGGATTTATCTCCCTCATCTACTGCTGGTAGAAGGCTTGATCTCCTTAGGGCATAATTAATTTTTGACATTTTTACCCTCGGCGCAAACCGTGTGTTTTTACTTTGCCTAATGTATATTGTTCCTACTTTCTTTATAGCACACAGCTTTTGCTTTATTCTGTTTTGTGGGAGAGGCAAAAGAAAGGCCCCCTCAGAGATTTTCTTTACTTCCCGAAAATCCTAGTAATGCTTTAAAATTCGTGTTTTATCCAGAATCCACTTGTATTGTGACAGGAGGACCGTTTAAGGTCTGTGGTCTGCCTTTACTGCCATAAGCAAAACAAGTTCGGGACTTTAGCTTAAACATTACAGTGATTGATAATAATGTTTTTGAGAATAGAACCACAGGAGGAGAATAATGTGTGACAAGTTCCATCTTAGACTTACTGAGCCTGAGATGTCTGTGATATCCACATGCATGTAAGCCAATAGATAAATATTTGGGCCTAAAATTCAAGAGAAGAATGTAGACTGAAGATAGAGATTTATGCATAATTAACATAAAGATGTTAATTGAAATCATAGGTATGGAGGAGATTGCTAGTGACGGTGCATATAGAGAAAAGACAGGCCAGGAAAGATGCATAAGAACCACCAACACTTAAGGGACAGAAAGAAATGGAGATGGAGTTGTTAGACAGGTATCAGAAAACGGATGAGTGTGTGTCACAGAATCCAAGATTAGAAAGTGGACAGACTGTGCCTAATGCTAATGAGGTAGCAAGAGTGTACATGGAAGATTTAGTAGATAAGGAGATATTTTAAAACATTGGTATGAGAGTTTCAATTAAGTTGGATTGGGTAAAAACAAGTTTGTGGGAGTCTGAGAAGCCCTAGGCTGATCAGTCTTTCTGGAATTCTGACTGGATGGAAGGAAAAGTAGGATGATGTTGGGGTGCATGTGGAGAAGAATGAAGACAGAGTTTTTAAAATAAGATTGGACATGCTTGAGTATGTTTAAGTGCTGCCGATAACAAGGCAGGAGGGAATTAGAGATGAAATATTGAAGAGCAAGGAGGGGGTCAGATGAGCAGGTTCACAGTACCTGAGAAGGTGGGCTGAGCTGGGCCAGAGTAGAGATTGAGAGAACAGCTGTATACCATAGACCGCATCCATCCTAACAGGAGGAAGGACAGGTCAGTTCAGGTTCAAGTAAGGATGGTGATTTGTAAATAAATTTAAAGAATTCTTGCTGATGACTCTTATCAAAGAAATAAAAAGTGAGCCCAAGGATAAAATTGGTAGAGGCATTATGGGATGGCAGTTCTAAGTAGAGTGGAGAGGGTTTGAAATTGATACTGAGCATAATTTGAGAGGAGATTAGCAAAGCAGGGCAGTATTGCCAGGCAGCACAGAAGGCCCCCGCTGGGCATGCAGGAAGTAAGTTTGTGGAGCTCCCAGTGGGAGGCTATAGGATTGTTCTCCAGCTCAGGCATGGAAAAGGCAGAGTTTTTACTATATTCAGTACTGCAGATTTTCTAAGAAGGTGTTGTGGAAAAAAGAAAAAGGCAACATGCTTAAAGGTACTGAAAAGAGAGGTTGAAGTGATGGAAAAAAGAAGACTAATGGGAGAAAATCATTGTGCTTGGGCTTTCTACATAATCACAGGATAAGAAGTATGTGAGTGAACAGCTACATGGATAGACTGAAAATAGGATAACTGAATTTATGATTTCAGAACTAAAGCATTCCCAACCACAGGGAAGGTCCAGGGTATGAGGATGATAACAAAAGTGGAGTCAAGCAAGAGATCATGAGATCACTGAGCTGAGAAGATGCAGGAACTAAAGTTTGGGGAATTGAATGGGCCGCTAGGATGTTGAAGGAGGGAATAAGCTGTATCATATTTACTTAGTGACAAGGAAGCCATCTTTGGAGCTCTTCCTGAGCCAGCAGTATGGTGAATTGTACTTCACTAATGACAAGAGAAGTTTAAGAAAGGTGTTTATTCAATAATAATTTTCAAATGTGGGTAAGTACCATCCACGTACAGAATAGATATCTTCTACTCAAGGCCCACCAGAGGGATGGAGCCCTTTGAAGCACAAAGAGGTAGGGAGAAACGCCAACTTCTAAACCATGAAAGTTTGCATGTTGGAGATTGTTACTGGTAAACGTCATATTATTTATTCTTGTGGGCTATAAATGAACAATACAATATGCACCTTTTCCTCATGTAGCTCTGCTAAGGAGAAGATAGACTAAGTGATTACCTGAGTGCTGTTCAATCCTTTGCTTGGGTGGTTTTGAATATTTCATAAAGGAAAAACAAAATTTTAATTTTAAATATCCATTCATCCTGTGGTGGATTATTTTTCAAACAATAAAGTAGTATGGAGCAGTTACCACATTTTTAAAATTTAACATTACCAATTTCATGCGAATGGAATACATTCTCTCTTCACACACGTAAGCATGTTTTAAACCTTATCTTTATGCACATGTTTTTCTTCTAGTGTGAACGTTTCCCATCATGTCTTTTATAAATATACTGACATAAAATTTAGGTTAAGATAAACAGTAATATGAAAGGTTAACAGCAGAAATGGTGGAATCCAAATATCTAAAGATGGAAATGCTTTCTAACATTCAATTGTTTTCTCTTGTCTATTTTATATACTTTATACGTTAGTAAAATCTATAACTATAGTCCTGTACAAAAATAATGCATTCCTCATCTTTATTTGAGAGGCTTTTGTGCTTTACAGCCCAACTTCTTTGATATAATTTTAAAATATATGTATGATCACTCAAATTGTCTTCCCCTTTGTTTCTCTTATCAGTCAAAAGAGAAGCTCTGTGACACCACAGAGCCAGTGGAACGTTCTACTCAAACCACCACCATACGAGCAACGAGCACACAATTCAGGGTCCTGACGACCACCAGAAGAGCAGCGACACCCCGGCTGCCCACCAGCCTGCCCACAGAAGGTGCCCTGGAGATACTTTTGCTTTATTACTGAAGGAGGGAAAACTCACTGTGTTGACATGCACTGGAGAAGCTCTCCAGGGAGAAAGTTATTCTTTGGCAAACTGGATTTCGTAGGGATGTCTAAAAGGGAAAAGACAAAATTATTATGGAATAAAAATATGTGCTGGGTTCTTGTTAATGTATGGATGCCTTTTATTGAGATGTAGTCTTTCAGAGTGATCCTGGCTACTAGTCCTCCTTAGAAAAGAAATAAAGACTTCCTTTCATATTGCTAAACTTTGTAATAACGGCAATCAACATTTTAGTCACAGGATAGAAAGGCAAAATGCACAGAAAATGTCCATTGATTTTGGATTCTGAACACTAGGTAATCCTACTTATATGCAATTCTATTAATATTTGCCTGGATACAGTCAATAAAATATGCTGGTCTATAACCTGTAGAGAGGCACTGTGTATGACACAGAAATTGTACTTGAAAAACATTTCCTTTACCAGGAAAGGCAAAAATACTAAAGAACATTAATGCATGAGCACAACTCATTGGGGGAAGAAGGTATATTGGCCTAAATTTGTTAACCATCGATTCTGAAAGGTACCACTAGGGAGAAATGTGAGACCGCTTGGCCAAGAGTAAGCTTTAAGGGGGAAAACATGGTCTTATTTGTTTACTTTCATAAACCTTGCTTTCATTTAAGTAAGATATTAAATTAAACTTGAATCTTTTCATTGAAATTTAATTGGATATTAAAAGTTAACTGGAATAAAGTGATAAAGTGAGGTGGAGGATAGCTAGCTGCTAAATTATTTTATTGCTTTTAAAACCAATGTTATATTTTAATCCATCTTATTGTGGGTTGTTATATAGCCTGAGAAAAGTATTTTTGTAATTTGAATCCTGTCCTTTAGAATGAAATATACCACTGAAATATAAAAAAGCACATTGTACATTTTGTTCACATAGGACAAGATCTTTTCGTATATGATTTTGGTCATATTTGTTAGCAATAAGTAAGCATTTAACTTTTGAGGTTGAATTTGTAAATACAGACGAATATTTACTATTTCAATTAACTTGGAATTTTCTTGATTTTGATTTTTAAAATAAAGACTGTAGAGTCTAATTACAATAAGTCATTTTAGAAAATTAAAATAAATGTATTTTAAGTTAAAATTACAACAGTGTACTTTTCTCACAGCTCTTAAGAGTCATATAATAATTTACTGAAGTCTCCATCTTGCAATCTCAGTAAGAAAGTTTAGTATTACATCATATAACCTGCGACCTGCTCTCACTGCCATAGAAATTTACTCAGTAAAATATCAAAAGCTATTCCTGTTATAGTTAAGGCATTAGTAGACAATTACTGGTCTTAAGATTTGTGCACCTTAAAATTTTTTCTGTTATAACTTTGACTTTTCTCTTCCAGATGATACCAAGATAGCTCTACATCTAAAAGATAATGGAGGTAGGAACTGATTTTTTTCTTTTATAAAACTTTTAGATACTAATCTATTTCATCTATTTAAATATGGAAGGGACTTGTGGACTTCTAAATATAGAGTAAGGTTATATTTCTTTCCCTGTTGGCATGTAACATAGGAAGAATTCAGCAGTTGGCTTGAAAAGTCAAATTGTTTGAATAGTGGAATGAAATTCTAATCTTTGTATTTGCCTGTAAAACTACAAACACCAATGACCAATTATAAAGTGAAAATTTATCCACACACCTTGCTGTGCCTTGTCGCTGTCGTCCTAGGTTTATTAGTTGCACATGTGACTATCAAGGCTTTGAAAGATATTGACTAAAAATTTAAAAATAGTTCTTTTCCTATTAAATTATGTTACTTCATATTTATATGTGCGGCTCTATCATAGAATGCTGGATTTCATAAAAGAGATGTGTTATTAGTAATTGTTTATTCAGCTCAGGAAGGGGGTTTCCTCTTCTTAGCAGCACCTCTTACGTAAACGTGGGTACACTGTGATACTGACCTAGACACAATTTCACTTTTGCAGCCCCAGATGAATTCCTAAGTCAGAATCCAATATATACATTGTTAGGGATGTTTTTCTCTATAACTGTAGAGAATAGTTCCTAAATTACTCAGTCTAGGTCAAGTAACAATTACTTCTGTGTTTTCTTAGGTTACTATATATCTATATCTTTAGATCAGTCCACTTAAAAGAGAAGCTGCTTAGCCTCTTCATATATATCATTATTACATCGTTTGTCCCTTGTCTTGCTTCTGTAGCAAAGTGTTTTATTTCATTAATTTCTTATTCATTATTGTATTAATGCAGTAAGTGGATAGCTTAACAGATGACCATTTGCCACATATACACGCTAGAAATAAAACCTTGGTGCTTGAAGGGACTTTAGCAATCCCCTAGTTCAAAATTTCTCAGAGGAGGATGTTAGTGAACCTAAGTCTTCATGTTGGGGTTACCTCATTTTGAGAGAGGGTATATAGTATGAGATGAATGAAATGGAGGAGGGGTACCCAGAGGCTTCTGTTGTATTTGTTACATTTAATTCTTAACATGGGTAGTGGTTACATGTGTGTTTGTTATATTATTCTCCTGCTGTCTTTTCTTTTTTTTTCTTTAATATGACTAAAATATTCCATAATGCTAACAGAAAGAACAAAGGATTCATGTGATCAAATAGGTATGAGATACTCTGGGTGCAAGAAAATGAAAGAGATTTATTTTCTGGAAAACTGTTTAAAACTTTTACTGTTCGTTCGTGAATTCATTCATTTATTCCTGCCTAGTGCCTGCTAATTGCAAGGGATTGTTACATGCTTGCTGCTATGGTAGTGAAAAAGGTTTAGACAAATTCCCTGCTTTCAGAGAGCGTAGGTTCTAAAGAAATTTCAAGATGGTAATAAAGATTTAGTACCTGGCATTTCTCTGCTATTTGGTCATAAAAACTTTTTACAAATAGCATCTCAATGACTTAATGTTTTGTGGAATACATTTTGCAAAATAGTTTTCTAGAATATTACCAACTAGCTCAAGGAAAATCCCTAGTTTTGTTTAATGCAGCAAGGAATCATAAAACTTAGAAGATTTTCTTAACGCAATGCATTAAAACTATATTATGATGCTGAGACATCAAGTTAAGTAAATTCCAAGATTGAAATGGAGGACGTTTCCTCTTTTCTGTCATACTAGAAAAGTTGACTGTTGGATTTTCAGGTGATATTTAGATCATTAATATGCATCAGGTACCCATCAGAATTCCAAACTATCACAATAAGACTTAAACATGTCTATACATTGGAACTCTTTTCACAGCTAGGTTTGTTTATAAAGCACTTTTCCTAAAAGTGCAGTTAGAGCAGACCAACCTGACCAGTGTTAAGACAAATGTTCCTGCCAAAGAGTACTTAAGGGATATCACACATTACTTTTTACAGCGACTTTATTAAGATAACCTGCTGTCATTGCTTTTTATTTTATGGAATATGGAGATGTAGGAAGGATTGCCAATTTAAATCCAACTTCGTTCGTTAATTAAAACGAATTCCGTTGAAAACAGAATTCAGCATCGTTCTCCTCCTCCCCCCTCCAGCTTAACATTTTTGCAAGATTGAGGTAATAATGAAAAAGGATGCCTAATTTAAATGTTTTCTCACATTTATTGAGAATTCTTTTCAATGCAAGCTAAGACATTTTTATAAATTGCTATGTATTCAAAGAAATTCAGCACATTTTCTTTCTCGATTTAATTGGCTGTTCTTAAAACCATTTTAATTTAGAGGTCTGTATTTTCTAGAAAAGAGGGTGACATTTTTCAAAGCAGTCAATGTGTAGCTAGACTCTGCCTTTACATACATCATCTTCTTTAGATATTGGATTACCTTGGCTCTGAGTCTTCCTGGGATATTTCTTTGAGTTAAAGTAGTTGATTTTCTTAGTGGAATCCATAGCTGACATGATTATATATTCACTTTCCAGGAGATTTTCCTTCATCTTTGATATGAAAACATAAAATACTTCTGTGCAGCTGGACACCAAAGAAACACGACAGGGATTCTCATTCACAGGACGCAAACTGAGTTCCAGTCTGCTAAATCACTCTTGATAAATCTCAGTTGTGCATTGTGTTTCCTGCTACATTTAGATTAGGTCTAGGTAGAGCCTCTGCAAATTTCAAGCTAGTTGTTTGATTGGAGAAATTTTATTAGCCTTCAGAGTTGAGTGAAAATTCTAGGCTCTGTAAATAGTTTGGAGAAAAGAAACTGAAAAAATCTAAAAAAAGAGAATGATTCCTAAGGAGTGCAGGTCCCCTTAGTAAGATATAGCATTGATTTACCATGGTAAATGGCTGAATACAAAAACTCAGCAGAACTAATATAAAGATAGCATTTTATCTCCAACTGAAATATTCCTACTCACATGTTTATAATATTAAGTTTCGAGTAATACAGATGTCTAATTAAGTATCATTTCTGCTCCCTTATTTATGTGAAGGACTGGAAAGGAGGAGGAGGAAGTAGGAGGAAGAAATGAAGGAGGAGAAGGAGGGGGGGAGGAGGGGGGAAGAAAGGAGAAAAGAAGATGAAAGACACTCTTTCCTATGTTCCAAGCACAGTTCCAAATGCTGTACGTATATTAACTCATTTAATTCACACAATACCCCTGTAATTGGTCCTATTTGTATTTCCATTTTATAGCTGAGGAAACGAAGGTTCAGAAAAGTAAGTTTACCTGGCTGGTACGTGGCAGAGCTGGGATGTGAATTTATTTAGTCTGGATGTGTATCCCAGGTCCTTGGCGGCCTCACAGCATGGCTGCTCCCTTGCAGTTGAGGCCTCTTAGAAGCTTTACAGGGGAGATGCGGCTGTAAGGAGTTTTACTCACACCTACTATAACTGATTATACTTAGAAGTATTTGGAAATGAAATTTCCTCTTCCCGTGTAATGATGCATTAGTTTCCATTTTAACCTTTCTTTGAAAAACAGTGCATTCATTCTCCTGTGTCATTGAGTCGTGTCTGAAGCACTGGGATGTGTTCTGCAAACTACAGGGCTACTCTGTGTTTATGATCAAAAACTAAATTCTTTCAACCTTCTATGTTTCTCGAGAAATTCAGGTTTAATTCTCCATTAAGGGGTTCCTAGAAAGTATTCTTTAAATATATGTATTTCTGTGGATAATGGTTATAAGCACTTAAAACTACACCTTCCTTGGGTTTTCAAATTCTGGCAAAAGCTTTTTTAAGAGTCGCATTTTTAAGGAATTACCTAGCTATATATTTTAGCGGTACAGCTATTGAATGCCTTCTTTGGCATTTAATTAGTTGCTTCCAAATGACCCTTACCAACTAAATAGAAATGTAAATGTCTTCAAGATGCAAACTGGATAAAAGTATATTTAGGGCTGGCTGAAAAAGGTTTGCAAGTTGAATCAATGGCAAAGCCTTTTAATTGAGAAATGAAATCCTCAACCAGATTCAGCTCAATTTAGCAAATTGAGTTGTACCATTCTGCTGCACTGCAGATGTTAAAATTATTTCAAGCTCTAAAATCCTGTGATTGATTTTATTATTTAAAATTTGTTGACTGAGATGTATCAGAGTACCAAAAACTGCATTCTCTCTTGGTTCCTCTGAAGGCTCTTTCCTTTGATAAAATTAAGTTTCTTTTAAAAATATATTTGAATGTAAGTTCTTAATTGCTAATGATATTTAAAGTATTGACACTCCAGACAGAATTGTTGTGTCATGCAGGTGGCACTGTGTTTGTCATTTCTTCTTATTGCTAGGAAGTCTACTAAACTTGGATTCTGAAAGGCTGCGTGCTTGAGTCGGAAGTTGGGGTTTTCATCGAAGGGATGCTGAAATAACTACGTTAAGCAGTTTGCAGAACATGATTAAGTTAATTCTGGGGTAAAATCTGCAAAGGGATTGATTTCAAAGAGCTAATACAGAAATACTTTGAATGAACTACAGAATGGCGTAAATTCTGATGCTGTTGTATTTAGATTTCTATTTCTGAACATATAAGACTTTTCATCCAAAGATAAAATGTTAGAACATTATTCTGACTTATTCACTAGACTACCTCTAAGGTTGTATTTTTTTACCTAGTCTGTAGCAACTGATCAAGTGTCTAGTGTTTCATTTATCATTCAGTCAAATTATTTTTTGACTTTAATACATAAGTCATTAAAGTAACATATCTTTCACTTGTTTCCCTACCTTCCCTTGCTATTTTTTTTTCATCTACTTCTTTCCCATAGATCACAGTCTTGTAAGCAAAGGGAAACTGTTATTACCTTTTGACTGACTATTGAATATCTATCACTTTCTGTTTCTAAAACTGTAAAGTATCTTGGCATTTGGTTTTATCTTTTGCTCTGTTTGGCTACTTTTCATGATAGCACTAACTCTGTAATAAAGTGTATATGTGCCATAATAGTGAAAATTTCTTATATTTCAGAATATTATTTTGAAT